TTTGAACTTTTTTCATTTAAATCTATTCTGGGGGCGGGGGGTCTCTCGTTGACGTGGAATGCCCCATATATATATATATATATATATATATATATTATAGATATTTTTACCCGAAAATTTATAAACCTACAAAAAATTACGTATACTTTTTTTCTCAGAACTTTGGTTTTATAATAAACATATTTTTATATTTATTTTTTGATTTTTTTAAATAATAACACAGGCACACAAAAAAAAAAGTTGTCTGTTTCTTGAACTACACATATATTTCCTATAGTATTTTGGCCCGCTGAAACCGAATCTGAGGTCAGAATTGCTCCATCACCCTCAGTTTTTTTTTAAATCGACCAAAACCACCCTTAAACGGACAAATTCACACTTCGGAGATAAAAAATAAATCAACTTATTTTTTAGAAAAACCAAATTTTACATCTACGAAACTTTGCTCCACTAACTCAAAAACAAAGCCAGCATTGATCCAGCACCCCCTGAATTTTTTTAATCGAAAAAACTACCCCTAATCTGAAGAATCAAATTCAGGAGGTAAAACAATAAAATAACTGATTAAAAAATTTTATACCCAGGTATTTTTACTTCAGCAAGGCAGAAACAAATCCAGAAATGCTCCCTCACCCTCTAAATTTTTTTTAAATCGAAAAAACCACCCTTAAATAGAAAAATTCAAATTTAAGAAGTAAAAAAATATTAAATTACCGGCTTTTTTTAAAAACAGAACCTTACATGTATGTAGTTTTGCTCTACTAACTCAAAAAAACAAAGCCAGCATTAATCCAGCACCCCCTGAATTTTTTTAATCGAAAAAACTACCCCTAATCTGAAGAATCAAATTCAAGAGGTAAAACAATAAAATAACTGATTAAAAAATTTTATAACCAGGTATTTTTACTCCAGCAAGGCAGAAACAAAGCCAGAAATGCTCCCTCACCCTCTAAAATTTTTTTAAATCGAAAAAACCACCCTTAAATAGAAAAATTCAAATTTAGGAGATTAAAAATTAAATAACTGACTTTTTTAAAACAGAACCTTACTACATCTATGTATTTTCGCTCCACTAACTCAAAAACAAAGCCACCATTGATTCATCAACCTCTGAATTTGTTTAATCGAAAAAACTACCCCTAATCTGAAGAATCAAATTCAGGCGGTAATACAATATAATAACTGATTGAAAAATTTTACAGCCAGGTATGTTTCCGCATTGCTGGAGTAAAAATACCTGGTTATAAACTTTTTTAATCAGTTATTTTTTTGTTTTACCTCCTAAGTTTGGTTCTTCAGATTAAGGGTAGTTTTTTTTATTTAAAAAAATTCAGAGGGTGATGGATCAATGCTGGCTTTATTTTTTTGAGTTAGTAAAGCAAAACTACATACATGTAAGGTTCTGTTTTTAAAAAAAGCCGGTAATTTAATATTTTTTTACTTCTTAAATTTGAAGTTTTCTATTTAAGGGTGGTTTTGGTCGATTTAAAAAAAAACTGAGGGTGATGGAGCAATTCTGACCTCAGATTCGGTTTCAGCGGGCCAAAATACTATAGGAAATATATGTGTAGTTCAAGAAACAGACAACTTTTTTTTTTTGTGTGCCTGTGTAATTTGCAATATATATGTATTAAAATAAGGAATAAAAATTCTTGGTGTTTTCGATTTTTTTGGTAAGATATTAATGTAATATTATTACTCATATTATTTATGATAATAATAATAAATATTATGAATAAAAAAAAAATTATTATAAATAAATATTATATTTTAGAAAAAATTATAAAATCTATATAAAAAATATAAGAAATAAATAAAAAATTAAAACATTTCTTTACCTTTACGGTGAGCACATCTGGCAATGGGTCATGAAGTTTATTATTTTCATGTATTATTGAGCCAGTACTGGCTCAAATGGGCAGACCACTTTTCGCCGCCAACTCATCCCCGTGTACCTGCTCAGCGGCAAATTTTCGTCCCCGTATGTTCCCCCACTACCGGCCGTATTGTACCCCTCCGTTCAGTCAGACGGCAACTTTTTCGACTTTTTTTTACATTAAAAAAAAAAATTTAATAAAATACATTTTTTTAGTATAAAATGTTGATCTTCTTCAGATCTTCTTCAATTCAATTATTTAACAAATGAACTAAAATAATTCTTCATTAAATTAATTATTTTTAATAACTTTAATGAAATTCATCCTAAATTCAATTATTTCAAAATTATTTTTCAAATAAAATTTTTATAAAATTTAACAATTGTTTATAATTTTAAAAAAATATCGCAATAAAATTGAATTATTTTCAAAAATTCCAATTCAAAATAAACTAAAATTTAATTATTACCCAAAATTTCAATTAAAAATCAATTAAAATTTAATTATTATCCAAAATTTAAATTCAAAATCAAAGAAAATTCAATTATTTTCAAAAATTTTCAATTTAAAATCAAATAAAATTCAATTGTTACCCAAAATGAACTGAACGGAGGGGTACAGTACGGCCGGTAGTGGGGAACATACGGGGACGAAAATTTGCCGCTACACATTTGCGGTACACGGGGATGAGTTGGCGGCGAATCGTGAATCGCCCGGCTCAAATAGATTTTCTTTTTGATTAATACTACCCAACCAAAAATTTCAGTATTATACCAGAGTTGACTACTGGCGCAGTACTGGTTCAGTATTGGCTGCCGAGGCTGGGCAGTCTGTACTGAACCAGTACTGGTATTTTCATTGTATCCGTACTGGTGCAGTACCACCCTCCCAGTACTGGCAAACCAGTACTGAGCCGATATTGAGCCAGTACTGGCTCAAATAGATTTTCTTTTTGATTAATACTAGTTTATACAAAAAGTTCTAAAGTGAACCCGATGAATCTTTTTGTTTAAATATTTTGTTCATCAAAATTTTTTCAATTTGATTTTATTTTTTTAAATTAAAATGTACTTTATTTTGCTTTTCTGTGGGTAAAATTATATAAACAAAAAGTTTCCTGAGACCAAGTCTAAAACATTTTGCAAGATTTTCTTTTTGTTTTCAGATATGCAATAAACCAAAAAAAATTTTTTAACGATCAAACTAAAAATAAATAAATTTGTTTATAAAAAATTAATATTTTTTAAAATAAAATAAATAAAAATTTAATTTAAAAAATTAAATACAATCGCAAGTAAAATTGCACAAATGTTATATTATCAATAATATAAAATATATAATTAACCTTTCTTAATAGAAATTATAAAAAATAGTTAAACCTACAAACTTATATATTTCAATGGTCAATAAAATTATTGTAATTTGTTTCTGGATGTTATTCTTCAGTTTTTTTTTCCAAAAGTGAATTATAATCAAAAATTTAATGTTAATTTAAAAATAATTTATATAATTTTTTTAATAATTACCTAATTTCAGGAATTTAGTATATTCATTATTTATTAAATCATTATAATATTTGTGATGAGTTAATTTGTAAACTAATTTTGTTTCATGTAAATTGAATTGAATTTAATGTTAATTTATTTATATTTGATATAATAATTAATAAATTAAAGTGAATAATAAAATAATTAAATTGTTAATTGCATAATTATATACATTATATAATTATTTTATAAACATTTTTATTTTACTGAACTGTTTTTATATATTATAAAAACTTTGGTTTTATAATAAACATATTTTTATATTTATTTTTTGATTTTTTAAAATAATAATTTGCAATATATATTATAAGAAGGTATGAAAATTTTTGGTGTTTTCGATTTTATATAATAAAATATTAATTAGTTAGTTGACTAATTTAATTAATATTTAATTTGTGTTGGGTTACTAAAAATTTCAAACACTTTTTCCTAAAAAAAAAGTATTACCTGGAGTGAAACTTATTTCTCTGTTACAGTTAAAGCTTTCTTTTCGTATACAATAAATTACAAAACTGCCAGTACTCGGCCAGTACTGAACCAGTAGTGGTTACCAATACTGGTGCCAACTCTGGTAGCCAATACTGGTAAAATGTTATCATCCCAAAGTTACGCCAACTCTGGCACCAATACTGGGTGCCAGTACTGCGCCGTTAGTAAATTTTTGATTGGGTAGTTTACAAAAAGTTCTAGAGTGATCCTGATGAATCTTTTTGTTTAAATATTTTGTTTATAAAAATTTTTTCGCATTGATTTTATTTTTCAAAACTAAAATGTATTTTATTTTGCTTTTCTGTGGGTAAAATTATATATATAATTATAAATATTATATTTTAGAAAAAATATACTATACCCCCACTCTACCGGCCGGGCCATAAACACGGAGCTCGAGGGACGCATGCACCGCGGGGGGCCTAAGCAGCGTTCTCGGGCCTGATGACATTTTCTATTTATGGCCCCTAATGAGTTTTTCATGAAAATTTAAAAAATTTTTAATATTAACAATTTTTAATTTTTTTTAACATATTCACATTCCTCATAAGTTCACGATTGCGGGCATGTGTTGTCCCAATTAAAAATGTTAATATTTAAAATGTTTATAATTTTTATTGAATTATGTCGCCTGAATCCCCCAGTATTGATCTAGTCATGATACCGAATAACTTTTTTAATAAAAATTAAATCTTTTCAAATATCAACTTTTTTACCCCTCATTTTTTTGCGATTCAGACATATTTTTTTTTTAAATGTTGAAATTTAAAAAGTTTTAATTTTTTTTTAATCACAATTTTTCCAGTCTTGGGACTTTTTAAATTTTTACATTTAAAAAGAAAAATTATGTCTGAATCGCAAAAAAATGAGGGGTAAAAATGTTGATATTTGAAAAGATTTAATTTTTATTAAAAAATTTATTCGGTATCATGACTAGATCGATACTGGGGATTCAGGCGACATAATTCAATAAAAATTATAAACATTTTAAATATTAACATTTTTAATTGGGACAACACATGCTCGTAATCGTGAAATTATGAGGAATGTGAATATGTTAAAAAAAATTAAAAATTGTTAATATGAGAGTAGATGGTTTGCTTATGAAACAATGAGATTTTTAGATGACAGGGATAAACCACGAAAACGAGTAAACACAGTAAGTAATTGTTTTATATTTTCTTTTACAATTAATATTATTTAAATTAATAAATTTGTGAATCGCAAGATAATATTCCAGAAATATTATATTATTATGCATATGAATTTTGCCATTCTACAGCTCCTTCATTAAGAAAATAATCGGCAACTTCATTGCGAATTTGGTCGTAATAAACTTTAGCTCTTCTTGGGACATTCGTCAATGGAAACAATGAAGTCATATCTTGCTCATGTCTCCAAGAACCTTCCACAAAAATACCATTTTCTTCGCGGTCAAATGATTCTCGTGGTGAATAAATATTTGGTGAATGTTTTCTTAAATAATTATGAAGATGAAGACATGCCATTACAATTATTTGTGCTTTTTCTGGTTGTAGTAGCATTGGTCTTCTTAAAATTCTAAATACAGACGAAATAATACCAAACGCATTTTCTACAACTCGACGAGCTCTACTTAGTCGATAGTTAAAAACTCTTTTCGCAGTTCCTTTTTCATGCTCCCCTGGAAAAGGTTTCCATAGGTTTTTGTTCATAGAAAATGCACTGTCACCAACAATAAAATATGGAATCTTTATTGTACGTCCTGGAAATTCTTTCTCTTTTGGAAATCCTATAGTCCCCTCAGACATCATTTGATAAAGTAATGAGTCTTTCAATACACCTCCATCTGAAATTCGTCCTTGACATCCGACATCCGCAAATAAAAAATTATAATTCGCATCGACTAATGCCATTAAAACAATACTAAAAAATGACTTGTAGTTAAAAAATTCAGTGCCTGAATTTATTGGTGATTGTAAGACAATATGCTTTCCATCAATTGCTCCTACACAGTGAGGAAAATTCCAAACTTGGTTAAAAATAGTTTCAATTTCTAGCCAAGCCGTTGCATTCGTAGGGATCTGCAAAAAAATAAAAAAAAGTTGTTTTAAAAGGCATCATTAAGTGAAATTATATATTATAATTACGTTCATTTATAGTAATATTTTGCTGTTGAAAACAACTTTTTAGTTTGAGGTTATGTTAATAAGCTAAGAACCCTTAAATATTGGGTTGAAGTAAGTTTAATGTAGGGTCAAATTATTTTTTGGTTAGTTGAAGAAATGTGAATATTGTATACTATTAAAATTAAATAAATTAAACTGTATTATACTGATATCTTAGTATCATGTATTACTATTGAATTAAAAGAATACTTTCTTCAGGAACAAATTACGGCTGAAACCTCAGACGATGAAGACATTAATGTTGCTGATGACGATGATTCCAACCAATGCACAATTCAAGCATCAATACCGCAACCATCATCACCACAACCATTAACGCCACAAACACCAATAATACAACCATTAACGCCACAAACACCAATAAGACAACCATTAACGCCACAAATGCCAATAAGACATCAACCACAAACGCCACAACCATCAACATCTCAAGCACCAGCATCACGAAAAAGAAAAAGGGGAGGAAACAATGATAACAGCATAATGTCAGAATGTTTGGATATCATGAGAAATGCTTCAACCCGTCTTAACCAACCAAATAGTAATTCATCATTGATATCAATTGTGGGAAATCTTTTTATGGGCAAAATGCATACTTATAGTATGCAAACACGGCATTGGGTTGAACGTGAATTATTTAACATTTTGGTAAAAGCTGATCAAGGTTATTATGAGAATCTGACCTCTAATTCTCAGTTTAATTTTCCTCAATCAATTTATATCCCACCAACAAACAATGAGTCGAATTTTCCATCATATCCATCAACTTCTACAAATCAACACAACTCACAATCATTTGAGAATCCCTCTTTTTTCCGACCCTATATTCCTCTGACACCAACAAATTCACCATATAATCCTTCCTCTTTTTCTTCTCATTTGCCTTTCAATCGGACACCGAGTCCTGCTAACACACAATTATCCAATAATTCACCTCATTTTCAATCGCAGGAGTCCTACACACAGAATTTAGTTTACTCACAACCAACAAATAATTCCTCTTCCATTCCTTCTCAATCTTACTACTAATCTACCAAGAACAATATTCCCGCACAACAAAAGGGTATCCATAGGATAGCATAGTAATATCCCACGATTTGTTGGAATATCTTAAGGACTTAACATTGTTATACATGAATGTGTAATTCATGCATTAGTACAAAATTTATATTATATAATAAATATATTAATATATAATAATACTTGTAAATATTTTCTTTTACCTTTATATTTTCCTTCAATTCTTCAATGATTGCTGTACATACTTGCGGGACTATTCTTCCAATCGACTGTTTTGAAATCCGAAATACATATTGTAAACTTGAATATGTGTCTCCTGTTGCCAGAAAACGTAAAGTAATGGCCAACCTAATTAAAGAGTAAAAATATTAAAGACATAAAATATTGAGAAAATTAAAAAAGACCGTTCAAAAAATATTTCGTGGAGCGAAAGAAATTTTTTAAATGATTATAATGTAATTTTTTAAGGAATTATAATGTAAATACTTACCTATCTTGGACTGATATAGGATTTCTAAAGTATGTTTTCTTTTTAGAGATTTTTGATCCTATTTTAAGTAGTAAATTTTCAAAATCTGTTGGCGACATTCGAGTAAAGTTTTTGTAATGTCCACTAATGTGCTGAAATTTTAATGTGGTTAATAATGCTGAGCCGGTTCGTTTTTTATACAGTTCTGTACACCACCAGCGGGGAGATCTTATTTTTTTCTTCTTTAATTTATTTAAAATAATTGAAGCACAACCGAAAATGAGCGATATATTTTCAGAATCAGACATTTTCACTGCTCTCACGAAATGTACTTTGCGAAGTATAGTCAACAACTGAGAGAAATTTCTTGTAGTATTTCTTTCACAGGTAATCTACAGGTTATACCTGCAGTTTTTCCCTTTACCAATGTTCTTCCTCTAGGACAGTATAAAGATAATAAATCGTTCTTTGTAAATAACAGCAGAGTATTGTGGGGTGCAGTTACTCCAATGGAAATTTGCTTTTTCCAGGTGAAAGTTTTGAGGGCATGTTTGAATAATAATGCTTATTTCATAAAATCATTCAGGTATCTAGTCCTGCTCAAAAATACGATTAAGGATCACTTTTACTAAAAATATCCGTAGTATGTCGTGGGGATATTTGAAAAATATCCCTTATAAAGGCGGTTTGGATATATACTAGGATAAACTGGGGACGATTTCAAGATATCCAATATCATGTCAAGATATCCTTTTATTGTAAGGGCATTTGTTAATACTTTTGATTTAAAAAAAAATGTTATTTGCATAGGTCTTGCTTGGCACAGAATTAAATGATATTTCAGATAAAAAAAGAATTGACAGTTAATGTTAATTTCTTTATAAATGTTATTAATTATACAAAAAAGGCAATGATTACTTATTTAATTAATCAGTATTATTTAATCAATCATTAATATCAGTATTATTGTACATATGAAACTGGCACCTAGTTATCAGCCCTAAATTAATTTTGTAGAAATTTATTTTAGAAATAACATAAATAATAATATTTATGTAATTATTTTATTAATAAAGTTATTTTTATTAACTTTATTTATATTATTAATTAATAACATAAATTTTTTCAAAATTAACTTGAGGCTGAGAAGCTACAAAAGTGGGGGTATACTCGGGGTATACTCATACTTTCATTTTCCCTTTGAAGGTATTGTCACAGACCGACAACCGATGGATCGACCGGCAACAAGACGCGAACGCTCTTTCCCTTTTTTTGACCCTTTTTTTTGCATAGGTACTCACACCGTGACGAAAAGTTTCAAATAAATAGTCAAGGCCGAACAAAATTTCCGGTGCCGACTTGAACGCCAAACCTTTCGATTTTGCTGGGAAATTTTAGTGGATCGTCTGGCGAACACGGGGCGAACACATCAGACAATGAAAAAAATCGGTCATTCGTGTTCGCTTCGTGTTGCGTTCGCACTGTGTTCGCGCTGTGTTCGTCAAGTGGATACGCGCCTTTATAACGTAACGTGCTCATTCTGGACTCAGCTTTATAGGGGGCGCGTCACGTATCAAGACTGTCACATTTGAGGAAGTCCATTGTAGATTGGCAGATTACAAGTCCACCAATCAGAGTCATTTCTGTCTCATGTATTAAAGGTACCTTTTAATAGAACAAAAGTAGTCTTAATGAAACATGTAAATACTCTGGTGAATGCTTTCTATGTGTATTCATTTCTGATTGTCAGCTACCTTACATCGATAGTTCGAGGTTTGTGCAGTTTTTTACTCAAAAAATAATAAATATGATAGTATAATCTCAACAATCACTAAAAGTAAAAAATATATATTAAATTAAAATGATTAAAAAACTATAAAACTTCAAAGTTCTTTAGATTAGAACACATTTGTTAATTGTATGAAGATAATTTTTTTTGCTAAATGATACTTTTAATTCATAAAATAACAACTATATATTTAAATCTTTTTATATTTAATAGACAAATGACACAGTTTCAGTTAATTTGTAGTGCAAAATTTTGTTTATGTCAATTGAGTGCACGGAAGGCATAACCGACGCTGCGCTCGAACCCAAGTTCGAGCGTGAGGCAGACTCTGGCTGCGCAAAGAACTTGCGCGTAAGCACAGCGTCGGTTATGCTTTCCATGCATTCATACAGTATACATTCTCAACAGCTTCCTTTTTAAATAATTATTCCACTAATTTTTGTTGGTACTGTAGGAAAATTAATTAAGAATTAATTTATTTTAACCTTTTTTCGTTTTCATCTTTTAGTCCGTTGCCGTTTACCATTTGTCAAAGAAGAAGATTCAATTGAGGAAGTGAAAATATTTTTAGTTGTACTTTGTCTTTAAAAATAAAATAATAAAATCTTCCTTTCCACCTTTCCTTCAATTATTAATCTCCATTTTAGAAAACCAGATAATAGAAACATAGATCAATAGAAATTAGACCAATAAAAAATAGACTAATAGAAACTAGACCAATTGAAAATAGATCAATAGAAACTAGATCTTCCAGATAGATTTAAAGGCCTTTCAAACGTTTCATTACAGGAACATGATTATTGTAATATTTCAGAGAATAATGACCGTAATGATTTACGAGATCATGATTATTATAAGTTTTTAGAAAATAATGCTCGTAATGTTTTTGAAGATCATAATTATTGTAATAATCACAATAATTCAGTAAATAATAATGAATTTAATTTAGCTTATGAACATCACATCAGTAATTCTAATGACTTAAATAATATTTCTGAACATTACCTTGGCAAAATGAATGAGTTATGCATTCACTGTCAAGCAAAACATTTTAAGGCAGAAAAAGTAAGAACAGAAAATTCTTTTAATGCTTGCTGCAGCCATGGCAAGGTAGTCTTAGAAAAATTACCAAATCCACCAGAAATTTTAAAACAATTATTCGAAGGTAACCATTGTTTATCGAATCATTTTTTCGTTAACATACGTAAATATAATTGTTCATTCTCATTTGCTTCTTTTAATGCTAATTTAGTAGAATTTAATAATAGACGACCCGGACCTTTTTGTTTTAAAATTCAGGGGCAAATTTATTATCAAATGAATACATCTTTGTATCCCGCTAATAATGAATTGCCAAGTTTTGGTCAACTATTTATTGTTGATGCCAATGAAGCAACCGATTATAGAATGAATATGAGAGATTCTTTTTCAATCGCCCCAGCCCAAAAAGTCAATGTTCTGGGATTGGCTTCATACTTTGGTAAATTGTTGTCCTATATGATAGTAATAAATCCCTAAAATATAAACTAATTAAAAAAATATTTGTAGAAAGTAGAGGGGGTTGAAGTTTTGACGTTAAGGGTAACATTGTCATTTTCAAATCCGTTTAACTATGACAAAAGTTAATGGATTTTAATTTATCTATAATGAATTTTATTGCATTTTTCACGTACTTTTCAAAAATGATTACGAAATTTAAAAAAAAAAAATTTAACCCCTTTTTTTTCAAAATCAACCCTTATTTTTCGATTTTCACCCCTTCGGGTATTTTTTTTTTTATTATTATTTTCATTGGAAAGCTGAGGTTTTTTCCCATGAGCTATGTAAATATGAAAATGGGACAACAATAATTTTGTGAGAAACAGAATATTAAAGTAGGCGATGCCTACCTGGAGATCATCTTTGAGGATTTAGGTAGGCACCGCCTAATTTAATATTATGTTTCTCACAAAATTATTGTTATCCCACTTTCATATTTACATAGCTCATAGGAAAAAACCTCAGCTTTCCAATGAAAATAAAAAAAAAAAAATACTGGAAGGGGTGAAAATCGAAAAATAAGGGTTGATTTTGAAAAAAAGGGGTTAAAATTTTTTTTTAAATTTCGTATACATTTTTGAAAAGTACGTAAAAATGCAATAAAATTCATTATAGATAAATTAAAATCCATTAACTTTTGTCATAGTTAAACGGATTTGAAAATGACAATGTTACCCTTAACGTCAAAACTTCAACCCCCTCTACTTTCTACAAATATTTTTTTAATTAGTTTATATTTTAGGGATTTATTACTATCATATAGGACAACAATTTACCAAAGTATGAAGCCAATCCCAGAACATTGACTTTTTGGGCTGGGGCGATTGAAAAAGAATCTCTCATATGCATTCTACATTAAATGCAGACATTTTAAGAACCATTGATAATGTAATGAGAAATCACAATGTTTTCGCAGATGCATATCAAATGATGAAAGATGAATTGGTTTCAATGACAAAAGACAACAATGGCACTGAACCTGAATTACAACTATTATTCCAATTGAAAAAGGACAAGATAGAAGACGGTACAATTTTCAAAGAGTCAATGAAGTAGCAGCAATTTTTTCTACTACTGCGGACGGTGAAATTCCAGAATCTTACGTTACAATTCGTAACAAAAATACAAAGCATTTACAATATGTCAGCTCAATGGATGCTAATGTTGAACCATGGACGTATCCATTATTCTATCCCTATGGGACCAGAGGTTGCACAGTGGCCGATTTCCCGAAAAACCTGGCCAAAAATCGAAAAATGATACGATTTCAATCAAAATTGGTATACCCATGTTTTTTGGGCTTCTGAATTCAAATTTTACATTGGTTGTGTCAAATTCAAAATGGCGGATCCAAAATGGCCGTTTAGATTTTAAAAAACTTTGCTGAAAATCGAAAAATGATACGATTTCAATCAAAATTGGTATACCCATGTTTTTTGGGCTTCTGAATTCAAATTTTACATTGGTTGTGTCAAATTCAAAATGGCGGATCCAAAATGGCCGTTAAGATTTTAAAAAACTTTACTGAAAATCGAAAAATGATACGGTTTCAATCAAAATTGGTATACCCATGTTTTTTGGGCTTCTGAATTCAAATTTTACATTGGTTGTGTCAAATTCAAAATGGCGGATCCAAAATGGCCGTTTAGTTTTTAAAAAACTTTGCTAAAAATTAAAAAATGGTACGATTTTAACCAAACTTAGTATACTTACGTTTACTGGGTTTCTGAAATCAAATTTTACATTTGTTTTATCAAATTCAATATGGCGGATCCAAAATATTTGCTGGTATTATAAAATTGCGTATATGTGTTAGAGTTTATTTTTTTTAAATTACAGAAAGTGCTTAAATTTTAGTTTAAAGCGAATGCGAATGAAGAAAAAGTCAGTCTGTCACGTTCAGTTGCACCGGCGGCCGGTGCAACGCGCTGTCGGTAAACCGCGCTGGGTGAAATAAAAAGTGATACCAAAACTGCAGGGGCAGCTTGGGGCAGCTGATTTCAATTAAAATGAATCAAAAATATATTCTAGTTTATGATAATACCAGGTAGGGCGCGGATATCGGATATCGGATTTACGTTGATAAAACAATGCAAAAATCGTAGCCATGAATAGCGATGTTTAATGTCATTTTTTAAAAACTCTACGTTTTAAATGTGATGATAAATACATTCAACCTATTTCATACACCTTTGTTAATAATTCCCAAAAAAAGATATTCAAAAATCTGCTGTATATTAGTATATTTTCACTATTTTAACTGTGACGAAAATTTATAGTTATGAAACGTTCTGAGTAAATCTCTGGCAAAGATCACTTTTACTTGTTCACATAATAAATTGGTGATAAAAAAAGTGTAATTTTTTTCGCAAAATTATGCAGTGAACCCTCCTTTATAATATTCAATAATAAAAAGTATAAATTTCTAAAAAAAAATTTTTGACTTTTGGCCAGGTTTTTCGGGAAATCGGCCACTGTGGGTTGGTACGATGGTATGGAAATGTTTGGTGGTAGCAGTACACGCAGTAGAGTAACTAGAAATGCTTACATTAAACACCGGATGGCTATTCGAAATGAGCCAAATTATATTTTAATGGGACGTCGTTTGTTTCAACAATAGACCGTTGACAATTACGTTAAAGTAGAAAAAGACAAAATGAATTATTTAAGAGGCAATCAAAAACAGTTAAGAGCTGATACATATGAAAGTCTTTTAGAACATTTAGAAAAAACTGTAGATAATACAAGTCGCCGTGTAGGAAAAGTTGTTGTCCTTCCTTCAACTTATCAGGGATCACCTCGAAATATGCAACAGAATTATCAGGATGCAATGACAATAGTAAGACAATTTGGTAAACCTGATACATTTACTACAATGACTTGCAATCCAAAGTGGAGAGAAATTACTGAAAATCTTTTAGATGGGCAAACTGCTTCTGACAGACCGGATTTTGTGGCTCGCGTTTTTGAACTAAAAAAGGAAGAGTTCATTAATATAATAGTTAAAGAGAAATTATTTGGTGAAGTGCAAGCTTATGTTTATGTCGTTGAATATCAAAAACGAGGATTACCACATATTCATTTGTTAATTAAAAAACCAAATTCTAAGATTACAACACCTGAAATTGTAGATAAAATAATTTCAGCCGAAATTCCTGACCCTGCAGAAAATCCACGGTTACATGAAATCGTCGTTGCTAATATGATTCATGGTCCTTGTGGAGATTGGTGTTTAGATAAGGATGGCAAATGCTCTAAAAATTATCCAAAACAATTCAACGATCAAACGAATAAGGTCGAAGACGGTTATCCAAATTACAGACGTCGAAATACTGTAACTTACACCCGTCGTGATGGTTTTCAATTTGATAACCGACATGTTGTTCCCCATAATAAGGAACTTTTATTGCGATTGAATTGCTATATTAACGTTGAAGTTGTTACTAGCATTAAGGCAGTGAAATACCTTTATAAATACATTTATAAAGGACACGACGCTGCTGCTGTCGTGATTCAAGAAGCACAAAGCAATGAAAATCAAGAAGTAAATGTTCTTGAACATGATGAAATAAAACATTATGTTGAAAGTCGCTACGTTAGTCCGCCCGAAGTATGTGGTCGTATATTGAGCAACAATTTGCAAGGTAAAAGTCATACAATTTATCGACTTCCTGTTCATTTGCAGAATCAACAAACGGTTATAGTAGATAATGTAGATGATCCGAATACAGTCAGATCTGCTTTGAATCGATCAACAGAACTTACTGAATATTTTGCTTTAAATAATCGAGATCCACATGCTAAAAATTACACATACTCTGAAATTCCGTTGCATTATGTATTTCAAAAAAAGGGTTCATCTAATGCTAACACCTGGCAAAAACGCAAAAAACATTTTAACACCTTGGGTCGTATGTATTCCGTGAGTCCATCACAACCTGAATTATATCATTTGAGATTATTATTAATAACAGTGAAAGGAGCTACAAGTTATGAACATTTAAGAACAGTTGATGGTGTAGTACATGATAGCTTTGTTTTTACATGCTTAAAATTGGGTTTAATTGAAGATGATGATGAGTGGGAAAATGCCATGCATGAAGCAGAAGTTTGGATGATGCCCAGACAATTAAGACAGTTATTTGTAAGAATTTTGGTCCACTGTCAACCTGTACATCCAGAAGAATTATGGGAAAAGTTTAAAGATGCTTTATCCGAAGACTACTCAAGGACAATGTCTGCAGACCTAGCACAAAAGAAAGTGTACATTCATATCAATACATTACTTACTGCTGAAAATTCAAGTCTTACATCTTTTCCATCAATGCCACAAGTAACAGAAACGGAAGATGACATTGAAAATGAAATATTGCTAGAACAACATCAAACAATTGGTAGTGCACAATACCGAAAGCTTAATGAAAAGCAAAAAGAAATTGTCGATGTAGTTTTAAAAACAGTTCATGAAGAGCAATCAGTTGCTAATAACAAATCTCGATGCTTTTTCATTGATGGCCCTGGTGGTTCAGGAAAAACGTTTGTTTACACAACTTTGTATCACTTATTACAAAGTGAAAAGAAAAAAGTTTGTACTATGGCTTTTACTGGCATTGCAGCTACCTTATTACCTCATGGTAAAACTGTTCACAGAACTTTTAAATTACCAATTGCCATTTACAGTGATTCATCATTGACTACACTACCGTCCGAAATTGTGCGAACTCTGCTTTTTCAACAACTATAAAACTGTTCAAATCTTCAAAAATATTAAAACTAAAATTTTTTCCTCTTTATTTTATTAAAGTTAATAAAATTCTGAAAGAAATGACACCTTGACAAAGAGAATGTGTTAATTTTTCAATTAGATATCTAAGAAAAACCCAATTTTCAATGTTTTTACTATTTTTTTTTATTTCTCTGGCAAAAATTAATATTTTTAAACGTTCTTAGGCTCATTGAAATCGTATTTTGTTATGCAATTTAAATTATATAAAACAATTCATGTTCACATTCTTCCCTAGCGTATGCAAACCGTGAAAGTTGGCTCATAAAATGTCAAAATTTTCAATGTTTTTACTATTTTTTTTATTTCTCTGGCAAAAATTAATATTTTTAAACGTTCTTAGGCTTATTGAAATCGTATTTTGTTATGGAATTCAAATTATATAAAACAATTCATGTACACATTCTTCCCTAGCGTATGCAAACCGTGAAAGTTGACTCATAAAATGTCAAAAAATTGTGATTAATATTTATATGACAAAAAATGATCAGTAAAATGTATAAATCTTAAATTTACTTACATAAATCAGAGAAGTTTAGAATGATATATTTACTTGATTTTAAAACATTATATTTTATTGTAGAATTAAATTTAAATTTTTTGACATTTTATGAGCCAACTTTCACGGTTTGCATACGCTAGGGAAGAATGTGTACATGAATTGTTTTATATAATTTAAATTGCATAACAAAATACGATTTCAATGAGCCTAAGAACGTTTAAAAATATTAATTTTTGTCAGAGAAATATAAAAAATAGTAAAAACATTGAAAATTGGGTTTTTCTTAGATATCTAATTGAAAAATTAACATATTCTCTTTGTCAAGGTGTCATTTCTTTCAGAATTTTATTAACTTTAATAAAATAAAAAGGAAAAAATTTTAGTTTTAATATTTTTGAAGATTTGAACAGTTTTATAGTAAATATGCGCGCATTGCAACATGAAAAAGAATTTTCAAATTTTTTATTACAAGTTGGAAATGGAACAGCAAATCACGATGAAAATGATTTAAAATTACCAGAAGAATGTATAGCTCCTCCAGGTACAGATATTGCAGAAGATACTTATGGAAACGTAATTAGAAACAAAGAATTTGACAAATTAACAAAAATGGCAATATTATCTGCTCGAAATGTTGATGTAGATGATATCAATAGATCAGTTGTTGAATTATTGAATGTCGCAACAGAAAAAATTTATACCAGTATTAATACGGTTAAAACCTGTGAGAACAATGTGCAAGGGTTGTGCAACGGAACCCGACTTCAAGTTTTGGAATTAAAAAATCATTTATTGAAATGTAAAATTTTAACTGGAGATAAATTTGGTTAAATTGTGTTCATTAATCGAATAACTTTATACAGAGATGATCGGTATCCATTTCAGTTTGGGCGCAGACAATTTCCTATTGAAATTGCTTTTGTAATGACAATTAATAAATCACAAGGACAGACATTTGACAAAATTGGAATTGATCTTAGACGGGACGTTTTTAATCACGGACAACTTTATGTTGCATTATCACGTGTTCGTTCTTGGAGTTCGCTTAAAATATATTTATGAGATCAAAGAGAAACAAACATTGTCAAAAATTTTGTTTTCCAAGAAATATTTAATTGAAATGTTTAACTTTGTTAAAAATTCTTCTGAATCAATTTTTAAAGGTGGTAAGGTCACAGTTTTTTAGAAAAAATTTCCTCTCTCTTTCCTCTCTTACATATGATTTGGGCATAAGTCTGTTTTACTTTTAAATTTTCAGTCTGTATTTTTTGAAAAAATGTAAAAGTAAGATAGATTTATGCAAGTATCACGAAGCAGAAAAAGATGAGGGTAGATTTTCCGAAAAAACTTTAAAGCTTCGTTAAATGTTCATGTAATAAAGCTTTAATTTAAATGTTTAGTCAACTTTTGCACCAAACATATAAACAAGCCGGGTATTTTAATATTTACATAAAATTTACTAAACTTCGCAACTCAACATGCGAAATTTGTAATTAAAGTTTTGTAAATGTTCAGTAAATTTTCAGTGCAGTATGGTGAGTTAGTTATATTATTGAGAGAATAATACTGAGAACGATAGTATTACCAAAAATAAACGTTGATTAATTTCTGACAAATTCAGATTTTTCAGTTTCAAAATTGTCCAGACCATTGGAGTAAAAAAGACAGAAGATGTTTCTTTTTAACTCCATACTGAGAGAAAAAAAGGACGGAATCTGAGGCGTTTACGACGTACTTCAATTTTCTCGCTGTAAGCACTATGAGCATAAGTCCATCTTTTTCTATCTAATGGGACTAGAAAAAGGTAAACTCATGCTCATAGTGCAAAAGAGAGAATGTCGTAAACGCCTCTGAAAAGCATAAGTTCAGCATCTGACACTAAGTTTACGCAGCATTAGAGCTTTTGAAAGACAGATACCGTACTAAGAGTGCAGCGTCCATACTTCGAAAGACAGTATTGGTACCACTGCTTAAGAACAATTGCTATCAGAAATATTTTAAATCGCCAGTGTCTATCACAGTTCAGATTCCGTGCTTTTTTAATTCAGTGCAATGATCTGGACAATTTTAAAATTGAAAAACCAAAAGGTGTGTAAATGCCATAAAAGAATAATTTTTAATAACTTATAAATTTGTAAATATTGTTTAATGTGTTTAATTAACAATTATTTTTATAACCTTAAAATTCAATTGTGAACATATAATAATAAATTAAATAAATGGTAAAGGCCAACGCAGCTATATAAACATAACCGCAAAAAGCAAACAGAAGAATGAGTTAGAAAAGGAAAGGTATATTTTTTGTATCACTTTTTAAAGGAGTGCCTAGAATAGAATTTTGTGACATTAACATACACATAGACGTAAACAAAACAAGAAATTAGAGAATGACAGATATGTTTATCTTTTTCTAATGCATTCTTCTGTTTCCGTCTACGTTTATGCTGTCACAAAATTCTATTCTAAACACTCCTTACCTTTAACATACAGCGCCAGTGGCAATTTTTAGAACCAGCATTTTGCACCAAAACGTAAACGATTAATGGAGCGGTCACACCTCGGCTGCAGGAGCAGTTGCCAATGGCAACCGTGTAAGAGTAAGAGAGATGGAAAATCTTCTATCTCTCTTACTCTTACACGGTTGCCATGGGCAACTGCTCCTGCAGCCGAGGTGTGACCGCTCCATAACCCAATACACCTACCACCACAGATTCGAGATCTGTCTATACGTGATTAAATTATATTTAAAAAAAGCAATATATTTTTAATAAAAATGCTCATTTTTAATTAGAATTTATTTTGTATTTAATGACATTCAATTGTATTGAAAGCAATATGAACTGTAGGGATATAAAATTTCATGAAATTTTCATTTAGTTAAATATTTCATGAAAAATTGGAAATAATTGAAAAATTGAAACATTTCAAAATTAGTTGACGGAAAAATTCAAATCACATGTAATCCAAGGGTTTTATTTTTAAATTTACTATTGATAGAGTTGGTTATAATTAATTTTATAAACTTCATATAAATGCGAAATTGTAGAATAGCTGGATTCACAAATTATAATATTATATATTATAATATTATATATTATATATTATACCTTATTATAAGGTAATCGGAATTAAACTTGAATTATAACTTTAACAAAAAATTTAAAAGAAACTTGTTACTCGTAGGTTTTCGGGGTCCTGATTACAAATCTGAAATCTGTTTTTAAAAATTCAAAATGGCGGATCCAATATGGCGGATGACAAAAATAAACAAGTTGTAAATTTTGCTTCCTCTTTACGATCAGCAAAAAAATTTTCTTCCTCGTGAAGAAAGTATTAACATTGAAATAAACATACAAAAATAATATAATAATATAAACATTAGAGTACCTATACATTTGAGTTAAATTCAAAGAATTAATGGAAGTTAAAAAATCAAAAATTCACATTTTAGCTGAAATTTCTAAAAATCAATGAAAAATAATGTATAATATATAATTATTTACAATTATATCTGTTTGTTTCAATGCAAGCAACACAATTATTTTATATTTAAACTTGAATTTAAATAAACACAAAATTTTTCAGCTAAAATGAGAATTTTTTTTTTTAACTTTCATTAATTTATTAAATTTACCTCAAATGTATACTTTATATATACTAATCGATTCGTTTTTATACAAGGAATACAATTATTTCATATATAAACTTCAATTTAAAAAATCACAAAATTTTATTGCCAAAATGTGAATTTTTGATTTTTTAACTTTCATTAATTCTTTAAATTTAAATTGAAATTATACTTTATATATACCAATCGATTTGTCTTGACGTACGGAATACGATTTTATTATATAGAACCTTAAATTTTTTTATTTAAAAATTTTTTTAATTAAAAAAAATTTTGGAAAAAAGACGATAAATTTTTTTGTTGTATTTTTTAAAATCCTTTGGTTAGATTTGAGATGATATTATTATGATAAATGAGCCTACAAAATTTTATCTAAATCCATTGAAACCTGCTTGAAATCCATGCGCTTTTCGGATGGATTTCTTACAACGGAGATAGAAATGCTAGTGCGCATGCGTGACTCCCGTTCACGTGTCTAGTCATATATATATATATATAGTCACGCATGCGCACTATCATTTCTATCTCCGTTGCAAGAAATCCATCCGAAAAGCGCATGGATTTCAAGCAAATTTCGCATTGAGTGGAGGGGAGTATTTACGACATGGACTTGAAGCAAATATAGTACATGTTCCAAACTTTTCTTGCATAGAAATCTACGACCCAATAAACACATGAATTTTGTGTAAAAAAAACACGTCACAGGTGATGTGAATAATGAGTGACATAACCCATGTGAATATAGTATGATTTTTCTCTCCGTGTATATAGAAAAAAATTTGTTTCCGTCACTTTGAAAATTTTTATAAACAAAAAGACTACAAAGCTTCCTCCACGAAGAAGCAAAATTAGTTGGATTGACTTGAAACTTGTTACTCGGAGGATTTTTGAGGTCGCTGATTAGGAACTTGCCATCAAATTTCAAAAATTCAAAATGGCGTATCTAATATGTCGGAAAAAATTTAAAAACTGATCAGATTTACTTAAATCCCTTAAGTCCCTTTTACCTATCCAGATCACACATTAATGCCCATTTGTGCTACTTAATAAATAAATAAATTACCTGTGGAGTAAATAAACCTGCATCAGGTACGTTAAGAATCAGGCCATTATTATTCTAAAATCACAAAGAATAAAACATATATATAAAAGAAATTAAATATCAATATACAATATACATTATTTGTAAAATATTTTTTTTTGCGATAAAAAATAAATTTTTTTATTTAAACATGCGTTCATATTTATCTAAACTCTAAATAAATGTAACTTTAAATAAATAAATAAAAAATTTTAACTACGTTTCGTTATGTTTCAAATAGAAAAATTGAATTGAAATCCAAAATATATACTTAATCATTTGAATAACATTTAAAATAAACTTTATTTACCATATTAAAGCCCATTTGTACTACTAAATAAATAAATTACCTGTGAAGTAAATGAACCTGCATCAGGTACGCTACGAATCAGGCCATTATTATTACAAAACCACAAAGAATAAAACATATATTAAAGAAATTAAATATCAATATACAAAATTTTACAATATATTTAAAATTACATAATAGAATTAAAATCAAAAATATATACTTAATTACTCCTTTTTCACAAATAAATTTACCCAAAATACCCAAATGTAATACACTAATTTAACTCAAATTTGGCAAAATTTTGTTTATATACATGGGCAAAGAAGAAAATTTAAATATTAAAACCACCCTCTCAAGTTGTTTAAGGGATTAATACCACAATTGGTATGCATGCTTACTTCTGTAAAGTCACTAAATTTTCATTGAATTTCTACTGTTTTATTAATTCATCTAAAACTTTATGTACGAAATAATCATCGTTAAAAAATTCATATTTCTAATGTAATAAAAACTAATTATTACCAATGGAATAGGAATACCCTACCAATAGAAATACCAATACAATAAAATAATTTTAATGTTACTTTTTTACTACAAAACTGTATAAATTAAAACAAATGCATTCTTAGTAACAAATAAATATTCTCTAAATTTAAATTAATAATTACTAGTTTAATAAATTAATTTTAAAACTTTTACAAAAACAGAAATTAGGAATTAATATATTCAATAGAAAACAAGTAAAAATTAATTTAAAAAATTAAATTAAATTACAATTAAATTAAATTGCAATTGAAATTAAATTAAATTTAAATTAATAAAATTAATTTGATGTTCATATAATAATCTTTCTACAGATTCGAACATA